AACAATTTCAAATAATGTGGATTCTTAAAAATATATTCCTCGAAAATTTAATTTGGAAGAAATAATTCGAATAATTGTTTATTCTTAAAATTTAGTGTATAATTATTTCATAATTATGAGATTTAATCCGATTCTATATTTTAGGATGGAACTTATTCACACGTTTTTTTTTTTTAATTTAATATAATATGGGATTTAATCCTATTAATCCGAATTTTAGAACAAGCCTACATAATTTAACTTCTTTGAGATTTTTTTAGGATGGAATATAGTAGATTGTTATTTCTAGATATTCACACGTTTTTTTGTATAATATAATATATAATATGTTATTTATATATTAGTATGTACGTGAATCTATATCACTCTGCTATTCAATTGTCTTTAGAAAAACAATTTCTCTTATGCTAAATAGCAAAACAACTACATTATGGACAAAACAATTTGCTTGATCAGAGAGCTTCAAGTGAATACGAGTTCCATGAGTTTCTCTCTGAAGCTTCGTGCTATTCGTATTTTCAAGAGATCTTTTAATGAAGCTGACACACCCAATTTCGAAGTTGTTTTTCATGATATTGCGGTTGTTGTCATGTAGTTTTTTCATGATATGTGTTGCATAATTTTTGTTTTCAAATATTAATTATTGTATTTTTTAACTACGTAGATCTATGTTTTGTAGGGTACCCGCATAACAGGTATAATCCGTTTTATGCCTATTTTTGCTGGAGAATTTGAAGAAGATGGAGGTCTATGTCATTAGAAATTACAAGCTTGAATTTAATATTAGAAAACATAGAGCTACGCGTGGTGAACTCAAAGTCATAATTGACTGTGAAACTTCTGTTCTTCATTGCTTTCCCCTTTCCCAACGTGGCAATTCGAATTCCAAAGTTTTGGTTCACTTCGAAATATTAACTCTGACTGCGACTCGCATCTTGATGGTAAATCTTTGATCTAATTTGTATTCCATCATTTTTAGTATTTAATTTTTTATTGTTCATATATTATTTATTTAAATAACGGCGGCATAATTATTTTTATTGATTTAGATACCATTGGGATGGTTGTTGAGGTTCAGCCAATTAATTCAGTATGGTTTCACGGAAAAGAAAGGAAATTGATCGTGTTTTATTTAATGGATTTGGAGTAAGTATTAATTATACGCTTTGAATTATTGAATAAGAAATTTATTTTAAAATCCAATATTATATTAATTTTTTTTTTTTTCTACAGTGGAATAGTGATGCGTTGAACACTATTCGATGATTATGTGGATGATTTTGTTACCTATGAGAATAACTTCGATTCAAATAGAGAACCATGGGTTCTCATCATTCAGTTATGTAGATTGAGATATGACTGACGGACAGAAAGGAGTTTATTCAAAAATTATGGCGGCGGTCGATTCAGGTCAGGGAGGTGTTTTCTTTGTCTACGGTTATGGCGGAACCGAGAAAACATACTTGTGGAGGACTTTAGCTGCTGGATTACGATCAAAGGGTGAGATTGTGCTTTGTGTTGCCTCGAGTGGAATAGCTTCTCTTATGTTGCCTGGTGGAAGAACTGCACACTCTCGCTTTGGCATACCTATTAATGTTCACGAAAATTCGTCGTGTGATATCAACCAGGCTAGCCCTCTAGCAGAGCTAATTATACGGTCCTCCCTAATCATATGGGACGAAGCTCCAATGATGCATAAGCATTGGTTCGAAGCTGTCCAAACGTCATTTCAGGCGGTCATGGGAACGGTCAACCCGACCAACCATTATAAACCGTTTGGCGGCAAGACTGTCGTTTTTTGTGGAGATTTTCGACGGATTCTCCCGGTAATTCTAAAGGGGAACCGTCAACAGATTGTTAATGCTTCATTAAATGCTTCAACCATTTGGCAAGATTGTACAGTGCTTAGGCTAACGAAGAACATGTGTCTTCAGAGCCTTAATGATTCGGATGAACGTGATGAGCTTTCTAATTTTGCTGATTGAATTGCTAGCATCGGTGAGGGTACTATTGGAGGTTATAACGATGGTTGTGCCTCCATTGAAATACCAGATGATCTGTTAATAGCCCCATCTGATGATCCCATTGCTGCAATTGTTGAGAGCACGTATCCAATGTTCAAGAATTCAACTAATGATCCAAGTTATCTGAAGGACAGAGCCATACTTGCACCTACATTAGAGATCGTTGAGTCTATCAACCAATACATGTCGTCGTTGAATCTATCAGAAGGTCGTGTCTATTTGAGCTCCGACAGTACGTGTAAATCCGATTTGAATTCTGACTTCCTGTCAGAAATCCACACTCCTGAGTTCTTAAATTCTCTGAAATGTTCTGGAACACCAAACCATGAGTTGCAATTGAAAGTGGGAACTCCAGTTATGCTGTTGAGGAACATAAATCATTCTATGGGGTTGTGCCACGGGACACGTTTGGTTGTAACAAGACTCTTCAGTCATGTACTTGAATGTAGGATACTTACGGGCGACCATGCAGGGGATAAAGTGTTGGTAGCTCGGATGACAATAACTCCTTCGGATGCACGAATACCTTTTAAAATTCAACGAAGGCAGTTCCCAATTGTGGTCTCTTATGCAATGACTATTAACAAGAGCCAAGGTCAATCCTTATCCCACGTTGGTTTATTCTTGAAGAAACCAGTTTTCAGTCATGGCCAGTTATATGTTGCTGTTTCGCGCGTCACCAACAGAAAGGGTTTGAAAATTTTAATATGTGGTGAAGATAAGTCGCCTCCGAATCATACAAATAATATTGTGTACAGAGAAGTTTTTAATAGTATATGATTTTTTTTTTATTTTAATTATGTTTGCATAATTAGATGTGTTAAATTTAATTAATTACATTTAAATAAAGATTTCAATATGTTTTAAGTAATGCGCCCACCGTGCATCGCACGGGTACCTCACTAGTTGACGTTGAAATCGTCAAAATCCAACACAAAATTCTAATATTGGATAATAGGATTGTTGTTAGAATGTACTGAAGTAGAAAGTTTGCTGATTTTCTGAGTAGTGACACTATTACTCACTAAAAAATATCAAATCTCACAACTACATATACAAAAAACAAGACAAACATAAGTTGGGAAAATGAATTTGAGTTGGAAATTAATAAAAACATGTAATAATATCTTAGAGAAATTAAAGTTATAAATTGTGGAAATAATTGAACGTGTAATTTTCTACACGAAAAGTCAGT